TATTGAATATGGCCAAAATTGTAGCATTTCAAATATATGGCAATATATTTGGGAATAATATTAAAAAAAATATATTTCAAATTTATTTTTCTTCCATGTGGGAAGAGTTGCACCTGACCACATTTAATAAGCTCTTGAGCAATTGCATTTGCAAAGTGCACAGGCTATTTGCCTTTAATAAATCAACCCCTTAGGCTATTATCAGAGTTTAGCAGCAGCAGCATTTAGGAGCAATTAAACGTCCCTCTCTTGAACACAGAAGAATCGTGTTTAGGAGAGGAACGATTTGACCACAAAATGCAGCAAAAACACATTGAAACGCGTCTAAGCGCTAGCCGGGTTTAGCACGGGCGTTTATTCATTTCAATGGCAAGTACTCTGGCCAAGGAAATTAATAAATGTCCAAGTGCTAAACGCGGCTAAAGGTGGTACTGCCTTTACACGCATTTTTGGCGCGTTTAGTATTTTTCAGCGGCCATGAAAGCTTGACTTCCAAAAAGTGCTTAGTGTACATGTAGCCAGGACAAAAAGGCTGACATTACTGAGAACAAAATATCTCCATTGTGTATAAAGATTCTTTATGATGAGAGGAGGAATAAGGTGAAGGTTGCATCTTACCAGTCTGCAGGTCTTGTGTGCCCAATATCCCTCCTCTTAGATATAAATGGAATAGCAATCATTTCAGTTTTGTTTATCTTTATTAACAATGAATGGTTAACTTTTTTCACCTTGTCCCTACGCCTCTGTGACTTTCTTCCTTTGTCGCACGCATTTTCCAGAGTGCATTAATCAGTGTGTGTGCAAATAAGACACAAAGTCATACCATAGAACCAGCCTTAGAGCTACGTAGCATGTTAACAATCTCCCACCCAGGCCACTTCTGGCATTTCTCTTCTACATGTAGAAATCATCATTGTTTTGCTACAAAATTACTCATAACCCCCAAACATTATAGATATATTTTTAGCGGAGACCCTAGGGAATAAAATGGTGGTCGTTGTAATTTTTTGTTGTCACATCTTTCTAACACTATTTACACTTTAACAAATTTTAAGGCAAAAAATCCACAATATATAACCCAATTTTGGGTAAAATATAAAAGATGATGTTATGCCAAGTAATTAGATACCTAACATGTCGCTCATTAAAATTGCACACACTCTTGGAATGGCACCAAACTTCGGTACTTAGAGATCTCCATAGGCAACAATTTAAAACGATTTACAGGTTACCAGTTTAGAGTTACAGAGGAGGTCTAGCACTAGAATTATTGTTCTTTGTATATCGTTGTGTGAACACTGTTTACATATGTGGGCGCTACCTAATGTGTTCCCCATGCGGGGATGGGTGCACTTTATTAATTTATTTATTTATTTTTACACGGTCTCTTTTTTATTTATTTTTTTTATTCCTATCACAGGAAATGTAAACATCCCTTGTAATAATAATAAGGCATGACAGGTCCTCTTTATGGACCCATTTGGGGTCAATAAGACCCAAAAACTCTCCTTTACACTGGAAAGCATGAGATCAAAGGGAAAAAAAAAACACCGATCTCTGCTTTTCAGGGGACAAAATGGCAGTGTTTACATCTGCCAGTGCTGGTGTAGCGGCAAGATGAGTCCCCCCCATGAAGATGTGTCTCCCTGACTCCTCTGCGCATCTCACGGTTTTCGGCAGAAGTAGCCGATCGCCGATCACCATCCATAGCACAGAACTGCCACAGTTAACCCCTTTTATGCTGCACCGCTGAGTACATGCACCGCTGAAGCTGATCCCACGGATCAACAGCCGACGCTCCTGCAAGATGGATAGAAGCATCATGGAAAGGAGAGAGGTCGGATGCAGTAGCTCTGTGATCGCTTGATCGTCTCTGAAACCGTGACATGCGCAGATGCGTCAGGGAGACACATCATCATGGGGGGACTCATCTTGCCGCTACACCGAAAGTGATGTCATGATGTCGCTTCCAGCCTCCCAGGATCATAGAGATGACCGGGGACCATCCAGTCAACAGACAGCTCTGTGGTAACCCACCACTGCCGCCGGATCAGATCCCGAGCTCCCTAATCGCACAGGAAAAGAAGAGCCCCAAGAGGCGCCGGTTGGCGGTAGAATGGGGGGGAGCACCCCCTCCCGCTGCCTGTAAATGTCACTAGGATTGCTTTTAGATTAAAAGGGAATTGTCGGTTGAAAAGAAATATATCTGGATGATGCCTGTAGCTGCAGTCATCATCCTGATATCTCCACTTCAAGTCCAGGACGTCATATGAGGTCTTACAGGTAGGAAGTGGATTTAAAATAATGTGTCAGTGTATACAGTATGTATTACCTGTCAGAGATCACAGTACTCTCCTGACAATGCCTTCATCAGCTTTCTTTCTGCTTTTTTTTCCTTTTTTTTTTTTTTTTTTTTTTTTTTTTTTTTTTAAGGATTGTGCCATCTTTGTCCAGCAATCAAAGTCACCAATTACTTCCTGGAGTACGATGGCTGATTTGAAATTAAATAATCGTGTAAATCCTGCACCCTCTAAAGCTGCCTTTCTCAACCTTTTTACACAGAGGAACCCTTTAAATAATTTTCTAGTCTCGTGGAACCCTTGCAAAAATTGACTAATTGGGGGTGAGTGGGAAAGTGCCCCCTCATAGTGTGGTCAATGGAAAAATGATTATTTTACACTGGAGGTCAATGGAAAAAATGTTCTCTTTACAGTAGTGGTCAGTGGGAAGAATGCTCCCCCCTCCTTTCAATTGGTGGTCAATGGTAAGATGATCTTCTTTACAGTTGTGGTTAGAAAGCCACCCTTACAATGATGGTAAGTGGGAAGAGTGCCTCCTTACATTGCCGGCCCATGGAAAAAGTAACCTCTTCAGAGTTCCACCCTAACAGACAAATAAAAGATCATTGGTGTAATGCTGCTGGTTCTGCCACGTGGTGTTGAATATGGAACTATGAAGGCACCATCAGATGGGAGGTCAATTAGCAGCAACTCAAGTTACTCCTAGCAATCTCTGAAGGAACCCCAGTTGATCATGGCTACTCCAAAGTAACCATTATGTTTTGGGCTATTTGTATACTGTACATGTTGGTGAAACTGGTGAACCTGTTGCTGGTGAGAACTGGCCAACAGGTTCACCAGTTTCAGCAATATGTATACAAAGGGCCCAAAACAGCTAGGAGTAGTAACTTGAGTTATTGTAATTGAGCTCCCATGTGATGGTGCCTTCATAGTTCCATGTCCAACACCACTTGACAGAACCAGCAGCATTACACCAATGATCTTTTATTTGTCTGTTAGGGTAGAATTCTGAAGAGGTTACTCTTTCCATGAGCCACCAATGTAAGGGGGCACTCTTCCCACTTACCATTACTGTAAGGGTGGCTTTCTAACCACAACTGTAAAGAAGATCATCTTACCATTGACCACCAATTGTCGCTTCCGGCCTCCCAGGATCCTAGAGATGACTGAGGACCATCCAGTCAACAGCCAGCTCTGTGGTAACCTGCCACTGCCACTGGATCAGATCCCGGACTCCCCAATCGCACAGGAAAAGGAGAGCCCAAAGAGGCACCGGTTGGCGGTGGTGTTGAACATGGAACTATGAAGACACCATCAGATAGGAGGTCAATTAGCAACAACTCAAGTTACTCCTAGGAATCTCTGGAGGAACCCTAGTTGAGAATGGCTACTGCAAAGTAGCCATTATGTTTTGGGCTGTTTGTATACATGTTGGTGAAACTAGTGAACCTGTTGCCGGTGAGAACTGGCCAGCAACAAAAATATTTTAGAGGAAAGAGCACAACATGTGTTACTCTGTTCTTTTTAAAGTGCATTGATCCCTCACTACAATTTTGGCACAGTTTAAGTGGCTGATTATTGGCTGTTGGTAAGGTTTATGAGATCAAGGCTTTGGTTACAAATAGCCAACTCCAGTAAAGGTGTAGGAACCTTCATCAGGGCTCCTCAGGGCATATGACCCCAGGTACCCTTGGATACACCTAGGGCCCCAGTGAACAGGGACAGTCTTTCTACCTATTGTCTGTCTTTTAGAATCAGACAGGAACACTTTCCACCCAACAGTTGAGGTTGGCTCTGTGTCTATTACAAAAAATAGCTTAATAATTATAATAAAATAAATAGAATAAAAAAAAATAATAATTTTTAATTCACACCTACTGAATGTTTCCCTAAATGCAAGGAGTTAGCATTCATTCCCACCTTAAAAAGTAGTGCCTGAGATCTGGGACACTTGACTGAAGTTTGGAGTCCTAGTTAAAACACTCAGCTGCCTTTACAGATAGGAGCTCTGCTTAAAGTCTAGTCCAGACCTCTGGTCCCATCCCAGTCATTCTGGGTTATCTTGTTACAATGGCATCTGAAAGTGGGTGGGATATTTTAGGCAGCAAGTGAACATGTTGTCCCTGAAGTTGATGTTTTGAAAGCAGAAAAATTGGGCAAGTATACGAATTTGAGCAGACAGCTGTAATCCCTCCCACAGAAAGAGGACCCTGCAGTCCTAAAGCTCTGACTATTTATATGCCACCTACAGGGCGCACCTCCCCAGAGATTGGCTGAAGCTCAATAAATATCCACTAAAACTCCAAGCCATTTCTGGCACTTATTGTTTACATGTTACAATCAGTATTGTTAGCTAGAAAATGTCTTAGAACCCCAAACAAGATATATTTTTAAAGCAGAGGCCCTAGAGAATAAATTGGTGGGTTTTGTAATTTTTTATACCACACGGTATTTGGGGAGCAGTCTTTCAAACGCAATTTTGTGGAAAAATTTTTATTTTTTTTTTATTTGAATGCAAAATAAACACAATTCATAACCCAATTTTTTTGGAAAATATAAAAGATGATGTTACGCCAATAGATAACAAACATATCACACTAAAATTGCACACACATCCGTGCAATGGCAACAAACGACATAAACTTTACTATCCATTGGCCACGCTTTAAAAGTTTTTACAGGTTAACATTTTAGATTTACAGAGGAGGTCTGGTGCTAGAATTACTGCCCATAATCTGACGTTCATGGCAGGGGCAGACTGACAACTCATTGGGCCCCCGGGCAATAGGGGATCATGGGGCCCCTGTGTCCTCACCCACACTCAAAACACACCCAAATAAGCCCATGAAAGGTACCAGGGGCATTTCATGGGGCCCCCCTACTGACCCCGGGCCCTCAGGCAGTGCCCCAGTTCCCAAATGGTCAGTCCGCCCCTGGTTCATGGTGATACCTCATAGGTGTGAGCCGATTGTTGTTTGCACGTGCGTGGGGCAGACGCGTGCATTCGCCTTTGCATGTGAGCATGGGGGGGGTGACACTTTTTTTTTGTAATTATTATTTATTTTTTTTATTTTTACACTGTTGCCCCAAATACCTCCTCTGCACGTAAAATCATTTAAAACACCAAGATCAGTGTTTTTGAATGCTTTTGAGTTTTTAAAATGGCACTGTTGATATCCGGGTAAAACCATAAGTGATGACAGATCATCGCTTCCAGGTTACCATATCAAAGAAAACCTAACAAAAAATAGCAGTGTGACAGATACAGTACTGCTCAAACAAAAGTGGTTACTTGAAAATCCAAGCGGAGTAATATTATCATTCAAAAAACTTTATTCGATCACATGGATCATATAGAGGTTAGACATAGATATGGTAAACAGGTAATAATAAAATCACTTAAAAACATTTGGCGTCTCCAAATAAAGTAGTTGTTCGGCAATTGAGGATCCACATCAGGCAATAGAGTTCCTAACTACTAGATCAAAGACTTTTCTGTATTTTCCATAAAAAATCAGCACGGGGAGATCATTCTTCAAGAACCATTATGGTAATAATCACAGTAAGTAGAATGACTTCCTGAAATGGAAAAACCAAAAAAGAGATATCATAGTAGGTGGAGCTAAGATAGGGTAAATATACGGGGTAAATAGGTCAGCCCAGCAAACACATAGCTAGTGTATATTTAAATCATTACTTTCTCAAAAGCTTGACCATCATTGAAGGATGGATATATGGCCTTCTTGGGTAACCACCCCAAATGAAAGTGTATCCACATTAATAGATGATTCTAAAGAGGTGTATAAATGTGAAACATCAATGACAAAATGACATTTTTATGGTAAACAATATCGGGTGACTAGAAACAAAAAGGGGTAAGATGGCCTATCAGATTAATGAGGAAATGGATGCAGAAATAAAATCAGCATTCACAAAAAATCTTAATCACCAGACAAACGATGGTAATGTGGATATTAGAAATAAATTTAAACTCCATAAGAAACTAACTTCCAAATACTTGAATAGAAAATGGGATATTACCTCCCTAGAATCCTATATAGAAAAGGGCATTGTCCCCAGAGGATTAATGGAGAGAGTAATTCCAGCAGAGCATCTCCACACTTCTAGGTTTTTGGAAAAATGGAAGGATGTTTGTATTAAACACGGCATTGAAGTGATGCGAATAATAGTAGAGGAAGAGAGGGTTCAATTAGATGAACTTTCTATACAAATTGACGCTAGCATTAAATCCCTAGACCCTCTGAAGGACAACCCTGACTTTGAAAAATATAACGATTTTCTTAAAAAGGAGATAGAAAAAATACAAAAGAATTTTAAATTTACTAAACAGAAATTTAAAAGAGATCTGGAAGATTGGGAAAGGGGAGAGATCTTTGATCTGTCCATCAATAGAGGATGAAGTAGATCTAAACGTAAGAGATATTTTTCTAGAAGTAGTAGACAACATTCATTTATGAGTGAGGATGAGGATGACACTAATAGGAAATCAGCTAGTTTTTTAGAGGAGGAAAAAACCATTGGGGAAAGTCAAGGTATTTGAAAACAGGTAAACAAACCAATGGGTATAACAAAAGACGAAAGGAATGTAACAACTATGCCCAAATCCTCCAACCAAAATCGAACTCGAAGTCACAAGAGATAAAATTACGGGAGAATACCAAAGACCTTAAGGTAATTAATCTGTCTAAATTTAAGTTGGAAAAAAGACACTATGATTTATTATGCAAAGGATTACCCTTTTCACCAACAGACAAAATGAATCTATTTGAAGTTTACAAAGATTTGAATTTATTCTTGAGGAAAATTTTGCTAAGAATTCCATATATTTCTGGAGAACACAGGACACTTGTTCTAGATTCAGAAAGAGAACAGCAAGCATTTCTAGACCTTGTGAGCCTCCTGGATGAGATATCCACTGCAGATGAGCTGGAGGATGACTATACCCCAGATATTTGGAAAATACATACTTGATTAATAACACCATCCAGGAGAATGCCTAATATTAGAGAAAATAAATGGCTTAGTACCTTTCTGGATCTAGTACATAATGACCTGTGCAAAATTGACTGGTCTATGAGGAACCCAGATAATCTTACTCAAGAGGAAAGAAGAGCACTTTTTGAGTTAAAAAATGCGAAAGATATTATAATAAAGAGGAGTGATAAAGGAGGGAATGTCGTATTATTACAAAATGATGATTATGAGAAGGAAATTCTAAGACAACTAAGAGATCCTAATACCTACTGTAAGTTACATATAAACCCCTTTCCCAAGATAGTCGAGGCACTTAATAGAAAGATAAAATGGGCATTTGAAGTAAACCTTTTAACAAAACGGGAATATGATACAGTTGCAAGAAAAGGTATGTGAACCCCTTGGGATTACGTGGAGTTTTGCATGAATTGGGCATAAAATGTGCTCTGAACGACATCTAAGTCACAACAATAGAAGAACACAGTCTGCTGAACATAATACTACACAAACATTAGATGTTGCCATGGTTTAATTGCACATAACATGTAAACATTCACAGTACATGGAGGAAAAAGTATGTGAACCTTTGGACTTAATAACTGGTTGACCCTCCTTTGGCAGCAATAACCTCAACCAAACATTTCCTGTAGTTGCAGATCAGACCTGCACAACGATCTGGAGTCATTTTGGACCACTCCTCTTCACTAAACTGTTTCAGTGTAGCAATATTCTTGGGATGTCTGGTGTGAATCGCTCTCTTAAGGTCATGCCACAGCATTTCAATCGGGTTGAGGTCAGGACTCTGACTGGGCCACTCCAGAAGGCGTATTCTGTGCTGTTGCAGCTATTGTTTTGTTGAATTACTTGTATGCTTTGGGTCATTGTCCTGTTGCATCACCCATCCTCTGCGGAGCTTCAGTTGGTGGACAGATGGCCGTACGTTTTCCTGCAAAATGTCTTGATAAACTCTGGAATTCATTTTCCCATCAATGACAACAATACGTCCAGGCCCTGAGGCAGCAAAGCAGCCCCAAACCATGATGCTCCCTCCGCCATGTTTTACAGTGGGGATGAGGTTTTGATGTTGGTGTGCTGTGCCTTTTTTTTCTCCACACATAGTGTTGTGTGTTCTTCCCAAACAACTCAATCTTGGTTTCATCTGTCCACAGTATATTTTGCCAGTAGTGCTGTGGAACATCCAGGTGCTCTTTTGCAAACTTCAAACGTGCTGCAATATTGTTTTTGGACAGCAATGGCTTCCTCCATGGTGTCCTCCCATGTACTCCATTCTTGTTTAATGTTTTCCTTATTGTAGATGTGTCAACAAAAATGTTAGCATGTGCCAGAGATTTCTGTAGGTCTTTAGCTGACACTCTGGGATTCTTCTTTACTCATGCAGCATTCTGCGCTGTGCTCTTGCAGTCATTTTTACAGGACGACCACGCCTAGGGAGAGTAGCAACAATGCTAAACTTTCTCCATTTGTAGACAGTCTGTCTTACCGTGGACACATGAACATCAAGGCTTTTGGAGATACTTTAGTAACCATTTCCAGCTTCATGCAAGACAACAATTCTTGATCGTAGGCCTTCTGAGAACTCTTTTCTGCAAGGCATGGTTCACATCAGACAGTGCTTCTTGAAACCAGTAAACCCAAAACAGGTGTGTGTTTTTTAAGGGCAGGACAGCTGTCAGCAACACATCCAATATCATCACACTGATTGGAGTCAAGGTTGGCTCACTCCTGGCTCCAATTAGCTCTGGGAGAAGTCATTAAGCTAGGGCCTCACATACTTTTTCTTCCCTGCACTGTGAATGTTTACATGTTATGTGCAATTAAACCATGGCAACATCTAATGTTTGTGTAGTATTATGTTCAGCAGACTGTGTTCTTCTATTGTTGTGACTTAGATGACGTTCAGAGCACATTTTATGCCCAATTCATGCAAACCTCCACGTAATCCCAAGGCGTTCACATACTTTTTCTTGCAACTGTATGTTGACAGTTGATATTTACAACATCCCCACATTTTGTTATTCCTAAAATACACAAAAATCCTATTCAACCACCAGGACTTCCCATTGTGTCAGCTATAAAATGCCCGTTAGAAACAATTGGCAAATTCATCGATGACCTTATTAAAGATATGGTCATCGAACTTAAGTCTTATGTAAGAGATACTAGACATGTACTGGGAAAAATCAGTAATTTGGAAATACCTAAGGGAGCACTTTTAGTAGGTATTGATGTTGAATCACTATATACCTCGATCCCACATATTTGGGGACTGAGAGCTATAGCTTTTTTCTTAGAAGTACACTTTCCAGGAATGGAGGCACAGAACGAGTTTATTTTGGATCTCATAGAATTCATGCTGACACATAATTGTTTTTCAATTCCTGGGGGCATGGTACCAACAGGTACGTGGCACGTCCATGGGGGCACCCTGGGCCCCGGCATATGCATGTCTCCATTTAGGCTTATGGGAAGAATACCTGGTATATCCATCCATTCCCTTTAATCAACATGTAGTTAAATGGCTAAGATATATAGATGATGTCCTGTTGATATGGGATGGTGACATAACACAATTGGAATGTTTTCTTGAACTCTTAAATGGGAATGATAGAAACATTTGGCTAACATATATAGATGATAGAGAAGTGATTTCTTTTTTAGATTTGTCTATTTCAATCTGTGCAAATAGATTGATTACAAAAACTTTTAGAAAAGAAACAGCAGCAAATACACTTTTACACGCCACTAGTTACCATCCGGAAAGCCTAAAGCAAGGTATACCAATTGGCCAATTCCAGAGAATTAAAAGGAACTGTACTAATGATATCCCATATAAAGCTGAATCTATTCAACTTTACAATAGATTTAGGGAAAGGGGATACTCACATAGGACTAAGAGCAAGACGTAGAGCTTCCTATAAAA